CATGAGGCTGGAAGTTATCAAGTTTGTATTGACAAAGGGTTATCTCGTGAAGAGACATCCGGCATCGGCTGTCATTAAAATACAGCAGGTTTGATTAGGAGAACAGGGGTGGGCGTGTATGTCTGCTTGTCTTTATTTGCCTCATTTCAATTGCCATGTTAAATACGTGTACGTTGACTGCTTTCTGTAGAGTGTTTTGAATAATTGAATGATTGACTTCAGCACACCAATACAGAAAATATTTGAGAGAGGTTCACAATGGGCTAAGTGGAAGCTGTTGCCATGGTTTACACATATTATATTTCGCTGTTGGTTTATGACTCAAACACTACAGATTATACAGCAGGTTACACATGCTAGTCTTGTTCTGAGACACTGTTTCTCAGCAGTTGATGACGAAGTTGTCCTGTTATTGTGTTATCTTCACAGCGGTACCTACGTGCACTTGTACATGTAAGTTTACCAGTTATCGTTATCACCTCAGGTATCCTGGTGGACTGAATGCATTTGCCCACTTTTCTGTGGGATTTCTGGCAAAACATGTACTGGACCTGGTACATTGTGTCTGTTTCTTGCGCTGTACATGTACAATGGCAAAGGAAAGAAAAGGATCAGATAACAAGGTTGAGAGAAAGAATACCCTGTTGATACCGGGTATGTGGAAGTGATACTAAGCGGTAATTATCACCCTCGTGGTCTGTCCTGGGTTAATATTTCATGATGTGGTACATGTGTTTACCAGATCCCTTAACGGCTGCAGGTGCAGATGATGCCGGTTGACTAGCCAGATCAGACCAGTCGTCTGGTACTGAAAGTTGGTAATGGCACAGACATGCACTGGATGACGTGTAATTAGAGTTCAAGTCTGCATACTCGTATTTAAACGCACATATGGTAGTTCAGCTGAATAGCTGCTTCTGATCATCAGCTTGGTTGGCAGCTGGGCACTCCCATGCTACTGTAGGAGTATTCTGGTCACCTGCCTAGGCTAGGACCCTGCTGGCTAGGATGCTGGGAGTACAATTGTGGCTGGTTGCCTGCATACTCTGAACTCGGTGGCTTTTCAGCGTGGCATCATCGATCAGGATAATCGTACCTTGAGTGAGTCTGTTACTGCCTCGCTGTGCTTGTACACTGATTCTCTCCAATCCCATGTGCAGGTGCTTTTCAAGCCCTATGACTATTATGTGCAAATACTAAGGAGTGCTGGTAAATATGTTGGTGCCCATCCCCACTTGTAAAGTGTACAGTGTACTACAAATAAGCACGCCCAGGAGATGCAGGTGTTCACCTACAGGCATACATGTACTGTACATGTACATTGACTTGAGCCACATAAACAGTGAGCATAGTGCCTGAGGGGGGTTTTACTTTGCCTGTGAATAGGACATCAGAGGGGGAGAGTCCTGATTGGTTGAGCCCACAGACAAGCCCCCTTTGTGTTGCGTAATTCATCCAGGGCTACATGTGCACCAAGGACGTCTTGATAACTGCATTGTGCCGGTTTAGTCCCGGTGGCGAACTCAGTGGATGAAAAGGGTGCCAGCATTGTTATCTGCAGACACCAGGGACTTGCTTAGAAACATCTAATTCTTGCGGTCTGGTCTGGGAAGGGTAGGGTTGGTTGCTGTCGCTGGTTGCCGGGCATTGTCGCCTCCTACTTGTACCTTGAGCAGTATTGGAGGAATTGAAGATGTTGGTTTGTTTTATTCCTCCATGATTAGTGGGGTTACTGGCTGGAGCTCAGATAGGACAAGTCCCACAGTCTACATGTATTTTGCAGTGAGGAAAGCTTAGATACAGCGAGTACCAGTTTCTAATGAGGACTTCTGCCAAGAGTATACTGGTACCGGTACATGTACCGGTACATGTCTTTGCTCAGTTGCGCTGGCTACTACATGCATGTGTATTGGCCAGTAACAAGTTATTGTGAACACACCAGTACATGTGCGTGTACATTGTATTGTGGAAATACTGGGTGCATCATCGTAACTACATTGCATATGCAGTTTGGGCCGTGTCTATGGTGCCTGCAGTTGTGCCGTGTACATGTGCAACTTTGTCAGCTTAAAATACATGTACATTAACTTCCAAGATGGGTGTTGGCCTTGTTACCAGTCACAATGTGCAGTACTGCACGTACTACTTGTGACTGATGCAGTATATCACAAAAGGCGACCCAGATGTACTTCACAGGAAGTGATAACGTTGCCCATTATGTCAGTCCACGTGCAAACCAGATCATTTGTGTGAGAAGGCATTATGCTTTGCCTGTATGTTCCAGTGCAACTTGAGCACCACCAACTTGACATTAACAGGATCTGGATGTCAGTTATTGAGGTCAGCAGACACCCTGGAGGTTACTTTGAATTGGGGACGCTGTCTGTGACTCTCATCTTGCTGAATGGCTTGAATTCATGCAAATAATATCAAACAAACTGAAAGACACCACGCTTAAAAAAAACCAAAGTCTGAAATTATAGAGATTAGCACTAATGTGGGATTGGCCACTAATGTGGGATTGGCCACCAACCTAAAGAGAATTCAGTATACAAGCGGACACATCCATTAGTGCACTGTTCCAACTTCAGAAATATAGTGCTTGATATTTTCTTGTGTGCAGAGATTGCACATCATGCTGCTGAAGATACAGGGTGTGAGTTGAGTCTGCCAGGCATCAAGGGTGTTGGCTTGGTGCACGCTGTCAATTATTAAAACAAACCCTTGTCTGGAGTGAGTTTCAACAGAGTCACAGAAATTAACTTGACCAGAGCGTGGAAAAACTCTGTTCTTATTTCTTCGTGTTCAGATGCCAGAGTTACACACGTCTGCTCCAGTCTCTGTCAAAATGAAGCCTCACTGTTCTGCTTATGCAATCGTCCACCAAGAATCCCTGGAAATCAAGGCGACAAGTCTGTCCTCTTGGAATGTAGTGGTCCCGGGAAAATGTGGCCATCTTGATCTGTAGGGTCTGGTGGAAAGTTTGTTGGAACTTTAACGACTGTACGCAAATTCAGCCTCCTGCTACCAGAGGAGTGAGCAGGTTTAATGCTGGTAGATGTCCGCACAGGCCAGAACATGGTTGGGGTGTTGGAATACGAATCATGTATGTCAGCGGCCCTACCACCCAGCTATGGGAAACCATGCATCTTCTTCTAGTCCTGTGTCTTATGGTAGCTGCTTACCTGGGATCCGTCTACCGACAAGGACTCAAGTACGTCCTGCATTTTACCTGTTTGTGTTCTGTGCCTGCACTTTTAAACTTTTACATACTGGTACATGGTCATTCCTTGGCAACATTCATTACTTTTGTCAAATTGCATTTTAACATTATCACCTTTTATTTGGGATTATTTATGTATATTCTTGCATGGATATTGTGGAAGGTTAGTTTTGTTCTTCAGGTGCTAGTGTTTTGTGTGTGTTTCCTCATGAGTATTGGAGGTTTTTTTTTGAATAAAGATCTGCGCTATGCCTAGACTTTTTTTTGTTGGGATGAAATTTAACCGGACAGCTTGAGATATTCGGATGATAAATCGAAATGCCATGCACTATGTACAGTTTCCTTTTAATATGCAGTACAGCCACAGGTTTTGGCTTTTGATAATGTGCATATCTGATTATTTTATTCTGTAAGTCATTATTCAGTTTTAAAGTCAGCTGTGTGCATTGTAACTTGGGACAAAATGACATATGTTTGTGAAAAGGTTGAGACAATAATCAATGGTCTCCATCCGCTTTTATCTTGACATTTTACACTGCATGCAGCAGTGTATTCTATGCATTGACATACAGAACATAGATGATCACTGTGAACCATTTTTTTTTTATTTGAGGGCTATTCTGGAGCAGTGCTTTTGCACATACATGTACATGCACGTTAGCTGTCTCTGTTATAAAGTCTTTACAATATTAAATGTATTTCATGGCGTGGAATTAGACCAAAAGGCCGATCACAGTCAGGTTTTGTTCTGCTGTTTTCAGCTTCTACCATTTGCTTGGTTCTACACGTCATTCACTCTGAGGAAATTCCATTTGTGCCCAACCACAATCGGTCATGCAGTGACATGTATGGGTGCATGCACGTGGTCAGAAAATAAGGTCACAACTACAATTTCATGCGCTGTATAATCCCCAGCTTGCAAAGCAGAAAAAACAAAATGCACCAAACAAATTACTGCTAGAGCACTTGGAAGCACGCCTGTATAAAGTGTAACATGTATCACTACGTGGGTACATTTACCGGTAGTTGGGCCCACTGTAGGGGTGGAACGTGTATATGTACATGTTAACACGTTTAAACAAAAAAAGTTCCGAATCTGTTTACAGATTTTCCCAGACGTTTAACATGGAACCGCCCCTTTAGAGGTTTGACGTTTGGAGTGACACAATCTGGCATTCATTTCTATTGTGAATGATGCTTGTAAAATGGAATCTGATTTTCAGAACACTTTACTGCTTGGTTGTATCAAAGGAATGCCGTGAATTCATCACTGGAACTTTGTGTCAACTATTTACATTGTATACAATTTGTTGTGTTTAAAATTTTTAATGACACCATGGTAAGAGTGGGACCTTAAATGTTTAAACGTTGCAGGAAAGTTTTCGGAATGTTTTTCAAATTAAACGTAAATTCCTACTATGTCCACTGCACTCCATTTTCACTGCAAATGTACATATACATGTACGTGTACATGCACATGTCTACGTACATGTATGTCCTTCAGTGGCTTTTGTTGTACCGTTATACATGTATGTAGACTTCACTGCCTGTATAGAGCCTCTGCATGTGGCTCATTACAACAATATTGCCACATGCTGTATTTACTCAAGAAGAGGATTTCTTTTTCTTAAATGAATTATATCCTGATTGGATTTTTCCAGTATTCATGCAGCCGATCAAGTTTCTTTTTTTGGAAATGGCGATGGCATATTCATTAGCTGCAGGCAGCGTGCTTTTATAATGAGGTACATGTATTTTTGTCGTTGAATTTTGACAGTATGAGAGAGGAACGAGCTGTCAGGGAAGACACGGCTAGCCACGCAGATGAATTGATGGAGAGCAACCTACACATGCCAACAGATCATCGGATCAACTCCAACAATAAACGGTATGTGCTTATCTCTCTTATATTTTGGTACATTACATGAGGAAATAAAATCAGGTCAACTAACTCAAACTTGTGCACTAAAAATTCACAGAACATGTTGGATATCGGCATGGGTATAGGTCTTCACCGGGTTAAGGGGACAATTTCTTTTGTTAGGCAAATTACCGGTAGGATTGAGTTGTCGGGACATTTCCCTGTCCCAATAACATGTTCGGTCCCCACAAAAATACCGGTAGATGAAATATTGTGTGTTCCACAACTAGGGAACGAGTACGTGTACATACGTGTGTGCACACTTACACCAAGCTCATGAGGGAAACCCTGCACTAAAGAGAGAGGCCTGACTTCCTCTGCCTTTTCAATTGTTGCCATTTCAACACCCCTCCCAGTGCATCTTTTTAAAACCCTCACCAAATAATTCCTGGTCATCTCTAATCAAATACCAACAAATTTTGGTTTGCCTGCCACTGCCTTGAAATTGTTAGAGTGTTCCGGCTTTGCTATGGTCTGTTTTAGTGATTTGAAGTTTGCAGAGTGGTAACACAAAATGCACAGTTTTATCTATGTTAACTTGATTCACTGCATTTCAAAGTGATATTTCTTGAAGATGATCGGTGCTTATAAATTCCCCAGAAATACAAGAATCAAGATCAACAAAGGATTAAAACCATTAGCCTCCCAAGTTTATTGACACCAGATAAACTGTGCAAACTAAGAAAGAATCTCAAAGGTAGTGCTTTTCAGAGTTAGAGCCTCCTGATTGGGAAACTCTCAAGTGGAGTAGGGACAGCATATTGGTTTTCGTTTTGATACATGCACATGCACATTACATCCTTTTGACTTGTAAAGTGAAAAGAGCATTCTACAGGGTTTTTTTGTCTGGATGATATATGTACATGTACACATGTAACTTGTGTCTTCTTTTTCAATTAAACTTGTGACTTGTGATTGTTTTACAGTCCTAGATTAGCGTCGGCTGTGGATGTAGCATTTTGGTTTAGAGGATAAACAGACATTCTGAGTGATATACATGTATTTATGAGCCATTACATTAAGGCCCCATACGTTACTGTAATGTAGATTATTGGAAGGTATCTGTAATTTTTGGCATTGGTATGATTGGCATCTCCTTACTTTTAGCGCACAGCCGAGAGGTTCAATAGTTCCTTTTACTCTTTGCCTTAATTCTAGATTGGAAGCTCATGAAGAACTTCCAGACAGCCTAGCACCTCATTCAGAAAAGCCAGATTTGCACAACCAGAAACCGACAGAGACAGAACAAATGGATGCCAAAGAGGAAATCCCTTCTCTGAATTTGGAAAGTGTCAGAGACACTGCAGACCTTGATATCCAAACCCAGCAACTGGACCAAAAAGAATCAGATGCTGACCCGGGGAAAGCCACAGCGCCTGGGACAATCAGAAGCCAAGAAGCAGGTGAAGACATCGCACCACCGATAGAGGAGGAGACCCAACGGGGTTCCTCCGAACCCCTCAAACAGGCGGATCTCCCCAACCAGGACGTGTCTCTCCCAAAAGATCCTGCCGAAGACTCGGTTGATGGTGCTTCTAGTAGAGAGGATCAGGCCCCTAGAGAACGCTCGGCTTCTGTTGATGCACCTCCTGAGACTCCTGAAAAGAAAGTGGAAGAGGTTTCCCCAGAAGAACCAAAAGTAGAGCTAGTAATTGTCGACAAGGATGAGCCTACAAAGAAAATCGAAGATGAAAAGAAGGATGTTGCAGAAAAGGTAGAAAAATCGGAGGAAGGAAAGAAGTCAGACATGCCCCAGAAAGAAGAGGAGGAGATGCCCTCGTTCGATGAATGGAAGCAGAAGATGTTGGAGCAGCATGAGCAAGAGAGACAGCAAGGTAAAGTTTCACCCTTGGCGACTTTGGTAAACCTATCGCAATGTGCATGCAGTCTTGGCACTGAACTTGCACAGAAACCGAGTACATGTACATACATAGTACCGGTACACTGTGTTACCAAAGCACCAGGTGATATGTACATATACATCTGCATGGAAATACTCCGCCTTGTGTAATTCTGTCAGAAATTCATAAATGGCAGGAAAAGCCCAAGAGATGCAGGGTAGTACATGTTTGGTTCCTTCCAAAAAGTTGTTGGCTGTTGCCAGAAACATCGCGCGTAAAGAATCTGGGTTTGGTCTGGTGGCCATCAGTGTGACATGTCCTTTTACATGTACTTCAGTTAAAACTTTCCCAGATTGTAGACATTTCGCAGGTATTCAGGTACAGTGTACATCATATGGTTCTTTTACATTACAATTTACATGGGTCATTTTGTAAATTAAGGGCCCATTTTTTAATGACCCTGTCACATGGTTTTTTAAGTTCAGAACATATTTACTACTTTCCGAGAGTAATACAACTTACCGGTACCTACCAAACAAATGAAATAATCTGAAGTCAATTCCAGTGATATTTCCATGTCAGGTGACACTTTTGGGCTTTGGATTTACAGAGTGACCTATTCTTTACCCCAAATCAATTTCAAAGCCCAAAGTTTTTTGAGAAAAATGTTTATGCTTCCTGCAGAAACACAACATATTCAAAATAATGCGAAAGTGAATATTCTCTTATCCCATTTCCAGGGCCCCTACACTGTAATTAATTATTTAAAGTGATGTCTATTAATGTTTATTAATTGTTATGAAATGTTAAGACATGGTCATGTGACATGTTGTCGACCAGTAGGAATAGTGGAATTGTCCCTGGTGATTATGAATACTTAATAGCTAGATTTGATCTTTGTAACCCATTCCTTGCTTCTGTTGTTGCCAGGCCAAGCCGGTAAAGGCAATGCAGCCCCTCCCCCACGCACCTTCAGCTTAACGGAGAATAGCAAGAACCATGCCTCGTCAGATTGCGGTGCCAAGATCCTGAACGTCAACAAGGAGTCCCAGAATGCCCCTGCCATCCTCCAGTCCAATCGGGACGTCTACACCTTGAATCCATGCTCTGCAAGTATATGGTAAATCCAGCCCTGAGTGAAATGAAAACCAGTTTGGGCTACAGTCCCATTTGAGAAGATGTTCATAAATACCTTAGACAGTTTCCCTATTCAACAAACGTGCAATGTGACAGTGTATTAACATTTGATAATGCGATTTGATAGTGTCTGCTGTTTAAAGACACGTCGGTGCCTGGATAGGAGACACTTTTAATCCATTCGGATTGGTCAAGAGTCTCTGTGTGCCGTGGTATGTAGAACTCGCCACCCGCATGCCAAGTCCATACAAGGAGATTCTTGGATGATTGCAGAAGGAATGTACCGTAAAATGGGTGGGGGGTGTTCAGGAAAATGAAAGCAAAATTCTTGAACAAATTGCATGGAAATTTATTCTATATTAACTTCTTTTGTCTGGCTTACTTAAATGGTATTTAGGAATGGGCATAAGTATGTGCTTGGTCAATCTCAACCTTAACCCCCTTGGATGTACGTACATGTACATGTAAAATCATATCGTAATCAGAGGACTTGGGACTGTTAGGGCTAAACTAATGTCTATGAGAAGGAATGCTGATAATATCCTCTCCTGGGGTTCAGGCATCAATTGTGTCCACTCTCCCCAGCCGGTCTTAAAGGCACCCGGCCAAGCACATATTTACTTCCTTGTCATCCACCTCTGTACTTATGACTTGACTGAAGACCTGATTTGTGTACATACATGTACATGTAGATTTATGATTAAGTAGATTACAAATTGTTGTCAGATACAGTTTTGATTGGGGTTTGTAATCTGTTCTCAACTAACATGTACCCCCCCCCGATCTAAATCTAAAAATAATTATTGTGTACAGGTTTTCTGTGGAGCTGTGTGAGCCTATTCAAGTCAAGTACATAGAAATAGCCAACTATGAGTTGTTTTCATCTGTACCCGAGAGCTTTCGTGTCTCCATCAGTGATAGGTCAGTATCAGAAAACCTCAGAATTCCTTTTCAGTTCTGTGGATTTATTTTCAGTGTTTGAGCCCTCGTAATTAGTTGTTCATATGTACACCAAGGACCACACAAATACAGAAGGACTGGAAACCCTGAAGTGAATTGAAATAAACTCATCATTTTTCACTTACAGACGACTCTAATTTTATGGGTCAAGCGCTTCCAGTCTTTCAAAGTACTCTTAAGGCAAGACAAGTATTATATTTTTTCAACGTGCTGCAAGAAATATGGTCACTCTGTTCGTTTGTTGCTGACACACTTTATTTGGAATTTCACCTTTTGCAGTAAATGCTTGTCTAAAATCACATAAACTTATAACAGATCTGAAAAGTTTTCTGAAAGACTCGTGTACACACAGTGTACATGTACGTACTATTGTCCCTAAGCATTAACAGCACAGTCTTCAAATCACAGTTCAGGGTACTGCTTGTTTATTCCTTCGTTTTGAGGCTGTTTCTGCTGTTTCATTGCAGTTGTGTTTTTTTCACCAGATTTCCGACTCGCGAATGGCGACAGCTGGGAACATTCCACGCTCGTGACGAGCGCTCACTGCAGAGCTTTCCTGTCCACGAGGAGACCATGTTTGCCAAGTACATGAAGATTGAGATGCTGACGTTCTTTGGTAGTGAGCACTACTGTCCTCTCAGCACGCTCAGGTAGCCACCCGTCCTGTTACCCATTTTGTGATGAGTTCATCAAACTGGTGCCCCGCATGTTCATCATTTATGACCATTCATACAAGCGTACATTCATACAAGTTAAAAGCAATATAAAGTCAAAATGCATCTTATTTCGCAAACAAGTTCACAAGTAACAAAGGGTTCAGCCGTACCCAAGGACTGAAAATACATTTATGGAATACACTTGTCATATCATGTGCAGGTAGTTGGTGACTGGAATTCATACTAGACGTCTTGTGAGTGACCCGCACTGACATCTATTGTCACTAACAAAACAAGCTTGTCGTTATGGGAATGTTGTTTTTGCAAGTAGCTCTCTGTGTTCTGAAGGAGCGGAACATACAACCCAGCAAAACTGAGGATTTTAGCTACTGAGTTCTGTTAAATCTGTCAACATTCGATAGTCTTCTTTTCCATGTGATTGGAGCTTGTAACCTGTTGTGTTTTTTTGGTCATGTTCAGAGTGTTTGGCACCAGTATGGTGGAAGAGATCGACGAAGAGAATGTTGCATCAGATAGCATACATGAAGATACAGGTCAGACGCCATGAATCATTTGTGAATCCCTCAACCTGTGCGTTTCTTTTTCTCTTGTGTTTGGGAAAGGAAAAGGATATTGAAATGTTATCAGATAAAAATTTGGGAGTGGTGAGGGAAGTGAGTTGCTTCTATTATTCAAACCATAAAGAAGCACAACTGTTGGCTTTCACGTCAATCAGCAAGTTGTTCAGACCTACACTTGATATGGTATCCCATGATGCCCTGCTACAGGGGTGCCAAGCCATTACAAGTTGCGGGTCGGGGTTTTGCATCCACCACCGTTGGCTTTTGAGTCAGCAGGTTCTCATAGTCTTTGCATGGAATACATCGTTTACCCATCAAACTGTAACCTAAAATGTTTACTAGGGTACTGTTGAGGTCCCAGTAGTTCATTTTTCATTGCCCTAAAATGTTCCCTGGGCTGTGTTTAGGAAAGTTGGAGTACCCGCGGTTACATTGTGCCACTAAGGTGCACGCGAGGGAGAACACTGATAGGAAATGGGCTTAGAATTTTCACCCGCTCTAATGACTGAGGTGTTTGAAATGTTATTTTCTTCAGAAGTCTTGCCAGCCCATCCAACACAGGCCCCCAGTGAGGGTGACAGCGGCTTGTTGCAAAGCGCCAAGGGTCTGGTCAGAGACCTCATGAACGCCATCACGGGCAATGGCAACGGGAAGGAGACTCCTCCCTGCGATGGTGAGTGGACATTCACGTCAGTGTGCGTAAAATCAAGAAAAGTAATTCTGTCGCGAATGAGGGATGGCATGGGTTTGTCAGTACATTGCAACTGAAACTTAACGTTGTGACCGAGCACAGTAAATGCTGTGGAAAGAATTCCTGTGTACATTCACATTTGCATTTCTCAGGGCATGAAAACATTTTCCCACTTACATGAAAAGACATGAACATGTTTTCCCCCTTGCGCGAAAAAAGCTTGAGAATGTTTTTCAACTTGTGTGAAAAGGCATCACCATGTTTTCACACACCTGTGAAAAGATGTGCAAATGGTTTCCCATTTATGTGAGAAGAAAAATTTAATTTAACTGGTTAATTTTTAGTCACAAGTTGTATATACCAATAAAGCCCCTTTGGTAGGGACACACAGCATACTCTGACATTCCTGGGTGTGTGCTCAACCATTATTGGTTGGGATGTATGGGCTTGGCAAGTGCATCTGGTGCTAAGTTAATAGTCCTTGGCAGACTCTCTCTTCTTTGCTAGTGATGGCTTGGGGGCTTCTACTCAGTAAATGCATTGCAGACAAGACCATGGTTGGTCACTTGGAGTGCTTGCCTACCTGAAAATGTCAGGCAACCTTTAATATTTCCAAATAGGTCACTTGGGAGACATTTTGTGGTAAATTTTTCAACATTAGGGAGACATCGGTCATTGGGGAGACATTTCAATGTCTCCCTCATGCTCCAACTACCAAAAGGAGGAAAATTTTTACCCTCCACATTTTGAGAGATGATAGATTAAGGTCTGAAAGGAAAACATGCAAAGTTTGGTTAAGATCGGATTAGGGAATATTGAATAATGGGACGGTAAAGTTTGAAAATTTTTGTGCATGTTCCTATGGGAATGTCTCCCAAGTGACCCATTTTCGGTAATATTAATAACTGAAGTGTGTGTGAACTTTTATCCATGTTTATTTTGTAGGTAAGAATGGGTCTTGTCCCGAGACAGAGATGCTGCCGTGCTTACCAGAAGATGAACCGTAAGTTCTGGTTTCTTTGTTTGCCACAAAGAGTGTTTGGCTGGCATTTTAACAATCATGTAGGATGAGGCGTTTAGACTGGTTCATTGTCAGCTTGACTTTGAACACTGACTGTGTGTGACTGTGTGTAAATTTTTGGCATGGTGCCAGGATTCACTTCTGTAGTAATTAGCAAGGGTTGAACTTATTTCCAACTTGACAGAATGTTGCTGCGTGTGCTTTGTGACGTCTAGTTTGCCTTCATATTCATATCTGAAGCTAGTAAGAACTGCCTTCAAAGTTCTGACATTATGTATTTGTTTAGGGGCTGGTTCTGTGTGTATGGCATGTGTTTGTAAGTCCAATTACGCATTACCTTTTAACTTGGCTATTGGTGTTTTAATGGGTTTGTGTGAACTTCGGCTGCGTGGATTGCAGTTTTGAATTGGCTTTTTTGTTCATAGCATGTTATTGTATTTTCTACTGCTTGGCTGCTGGAACACGCTTTTGTTGTTGCAGTAAGTATCTGAGCAAGGATTCCAAAGTTTGGCTTGTTGTAACCGAGCAAAGTTTTGACTTGTTGACAGGAAAGAGTTTCAGTCTGAGCGTTCCAATCGGTCAGTGACTGTGGAAGAAGCACAGCAGTGCAACTACCAGAATACGTCCGATTTTAGTCTGGACTCGGCACGGTTCGACAAGGAGTGCCGAGGATTAACGTTTTGCTTCAGTCCAAATTATGGTGAAAAGTTCCAGGACTGCTGCGTGAGGGAGGTCGCGACGTCGTTAACTACTCATTCGTTTCTATGCTGCAAAGATATGCTGAAATTGTCACTTTACCGCAGTGTCCGCACTCCAGAGCCTTCCGCAGGTCAGAAGGACCCATTGCACCCTTTGAAAGAGGTTCAGCATGCTTCTCAGATGAAGGAGCAGACAGGAACTTCAGTAGATGAACTCAAAATTCTGTCGGATTCGACCACATCCAATGAGACATCTCAACAGAAACTTGACAGTGATAAAGACCCAACTCCGCATCAAGGGACTGTGCCAGGCAACAGTCTAGAAGTCCCCCCTAGTGGTGCCACGTCATCCGCTTCCACCTCACCCTCTGAAATACAGAGACAGTCAGAATCGCAGGTGAGGCCAACAAGGTCCCCGTCACCACCGCGAGCCCCTACAGAGGCAGAGACGGGTAACATGCTCCCCTCGCCAACCCCTTCCTTAAAGCCCACCTGCGCCACCATGCCTGTGGAGCACCCTGAGACTGTGCTACGCCCACCGATCAACATTCAGCCTGCTGCTGTGCAGGGGGTGAGAGAGGATCAGGATCTGAGAGGTCCGGAGCAGATGCCTTCCAGCGAAGTCCAGCTGGTTGCAAAAGGCACTCCAGCTGTGTCCCTCAAGGCAGAGAAGGTGAAGACTGAGACCACTGATCCACAGCCGTCAGCTGAGACGGACGACAGTGCTAAGGTAGGAGAGCAAAGAGCAGAGGTGAAGAATGAACAGCGGGAGAAAGCACCAAGTGAAGAAGCATCACCCAAGGAACCTAAAACCCCAGTTGCAAGTTCTGAGATGGCCTCCAAAGATTCATCAGCTGCGAATAAATCAGATGCTGCGAACTCTCCAAGCAAGAGCGGACAAGCATATGCCACGGAGAAGGACTCGGCCAAAATGCCGGAAGCTGACGACACAAGGAAGAGCATTAAAACAGAAGCCAAAGAGACCCCTGAAGCAGAGTTGGAGCCCAAATCGGGAGATTCCAGGGGCAAAGTGCCTGAGAGCGCCAAGCCGTCAGAGACAGCCGGGAAGGGAACCAAGACCCTCCCGGACTCAGGAGCCAACGGAAGCAGCAGCATCGGTTCTATTGCACAGAAGGAATCAGTCTTCATGAGGTTGAACAATCGTATCAAGTCGCTGGAGCTGAATATGTCACTGAGCAGCAGGTACCTGGAGGAACTAAGCCAAAGGTAACATAGCTTGTTATACCTGACGTATTCATGTCCCAAGCACCACCCATTGGTAGTGCCATGCAATGTTAGACTGATTTCTGTCCTTACATTATTTTCTGCTTTCTTACTGGGAAGGAAATATATGAAATGGGGGTGGGAACCAGTCAGGTGAAGTTTTATTCAACAGGTACCCTGGAATTGAATGAATAATTCACTGATCCACCAATCGGACATCAGATATTTGTGAAGGGACTGGTATTGTACCCTGTAGTTGAACATATTTTTCTAGGAGAAAATAGACCTTGTATAACTGCACATTGTCAGTCAGCTCATGGAATTTACAGACTTTCACATTTTCATGGCCTGTGTAAGGAATGCAGGAAGAAAGTTTGCTGAGGAATAAAGTCTTGTTATTGGGCTGAATCACGATGCTCTCTTGTGCGTGTCTAGGGCATGGAGTATACCAGTACATGTACATGTACATGACTTGCTCTTTGCACAAACCCACAGTCCTGGATTAAAAATTGCTGTCACATGAAAAAAGGTGTGCATGGATATTTTAATGTCTTCAATTTGTATCCAAATTGAAGAATGTACTTTTTACATGTATAGTAACTTGCAAAATTGTGTCAGATGTAACAAGGACACACAAAATGGGACTCCAGAGATATAGAATGACTCGCATACCTGTATTCGGCCTACTTTGAATGTCTTGTGCAGTACATGTGCCAATGTTACTGTGTATGCCTTTACTAGCTTGCACGTGAAACTTTTACCAGTGAGCTGAGAATACCGTTTTTCTCAGGTATCGCAAGCGGATGGACGAGATGCAGAAAGCCTTCAACAAGACCATCCAGGCACTGACAGAAAATGCCCAGAAAGCAGAGGAGAAGGTAGGCTAAGCTGGACAAAGCGTTCCCTAACCTACATGCAGATAAGATACGATTGAACTGACCACTCATAGTGGGTCAAGGCTGGATTGGGCTATTCATGTACATGTAGGTAGCTTATGAACATGAGGATTAATCAGTCTACACAGGTTTTGATTGGCAGCAATTTACATATTAGTATTTAGAGAAATATTTCCTTCTTGTTGAAAGCAAGGACCTGGATTTAAAGAAATGTTGCATGTGTTTCATTTTGTTATCATCTTCATCGGTTTTCTGTCTAGGACCAGAAACAGCAGGAGTATATTGCCCAGCTGGAAGATCAGATGTCAGAGGTCATGATGAACCTTGAGGCAACCAATCAAAGATTAGAGAGCCTCCATAGAGAGGTAAATGAAGATTGCACCGTGTTTGTCCGTGATCTGTCCTTTCATTTCAAACTCCACCTCAAGGATTTTTTTTTAAGCGAGTTTAGTTATGAAACGTACATGTGTTCATGCCAGTAGTCAGTCTTTAGATGTTTCACTTATAGACACATATTCTAAGCCTGGGCATCACCAAGATTTTTCCAAGGGGGGACCACTTGTTTCCATGTGGGGGAGGGCAAAGGACTCATCAGCTAAAAACTGAACAACATCAGGAGGGAGTCCATTTAAATTTTTTCTTTTAAGTAAATGGGTAATTTTCATCCCCTTTCATCTCTTTTTTTTTCCAGTTCATTTGCTTTCCATCTTTTTTTTTCCTGTTGTATTTTCATTTTTTTGGGCCACCCCTGACAACACCCATAGCTCTTAAGGCTTGAAGCAGATGGCTTTAAAATGTGGCATATCGGGATATCCAAAAACACCAGACACGATGAGCTGCTATCTTCATAGGTTTATTTGTCTGGCCTGTTTCAGGTCACTGAGCGACACCTGTTCCTCATGGTCATTGAGATTCTCCTCATGAGCTTCATCTTCCTCCTCTGCCTGAGACGGCTGCGCAAGAGCCGCCCCGTGGCTAGTCACGGCCCGCCGGTCGTGGTCCGCAGCCACGATAATGGGATCCGTAGAAACTCACATCCGTCGACTCCAAGGAGGAAGGAGCACGAGGAGAAGCACCTACTGCCCCGAGTCAGCCAGCGAACGATATCAGGAGGTAATGGCACTGCGGATGTTGTCTCGTGCCCTGAGAGCAGATATGTGGGGGAGTGTGGTGATTGGATATCAGTGCGGATATCGAAAGGAGATCACAATGTTATCAAATCTCTAAAGACCTCGCGCTTCTATCAACCACTGAAAAAAAACCTAAGTGACCCTATTTAGAGACCCCTTGCAATGAGTTTTCATGTTCACCAGTCAGCACGTTGATGGGCACGGCTTTAAAACCAGTGCTGTGTACATTTGCAGGGATATTATGCCCTGTCCATACATGGTCAAACAAACTATGCAAGTATGCCGCTTTCTGTCCTGTGCTTCAGTGGCAGCCCAAACCCTCCCTGCAAAACGATCCACTTTGAGGTTGCCAAGGATTTTGCAACTCGGTCGTGTGGCCAAAGAATCCAGAACTTTAACTTCATGTAACAGAATTCTGCAACAAGCTTTCAAGTAACTATTCATTTATCAACCACAGGCTTAATGCTTTCTGTATAAAAAGTCTTGGGCACCCTTTGTTATCCCTAACCTAGAGTGTTAATCTGTCTCTGCAGGTAGCTGTGATGATCTTCTAATCATTGGCCCCAGCACTCCTTTCTTAGAATCCCTTCAACAGGTAAGAATTCATTTACAGCAGGAATTCATGGGTACAAACCAGTGAGGAAAAACAGCAACTGACCATGTGTATCTGACCAAGAACTGAGGCAGTCAGCAGTGTGCATACTTGAGAGAAACATCTCTTTTGTGTCATTCTTGTCATACATGCAAGTGTCGGATTGTTCAACATGAATCTGTTCCACAAACCTGCCTTGGTCAATATCCGTTGTTTTTGGCATTATGTTTACCCTCTAAATATCCTCTCTGTAATACGGGTGATTCACTGTAGTGCGCCTCCAAGAGTTTGCAACGTGTTTGCCAATCACAGCGCATGAAATCTATCGACCCGTTCCAAATGCACATTGGGTCGACAGATTTGGCACATTGTAATTGGCCAATGCGTTTGCAAACTCTTGGAGGCGCACTCTTGTGAATCGCCTGTATTATCTGACAACAGAGATGTTTTTGTTAATGCTAAAACTATTAAAAGCAAACACTACTTTTTTGTACCACAAACCTTTGATAGATGGGTGTTAAGCAGTTTGATATGTCAAGCACAGTGCACATACATGTAATACTAATGTGCAAGACTCGCTCGAGTGTATGACTAGTTCACATGTGATTTATGTACAGTGTGTTGGCCTGAGGAACACCATGTGACTGTTTCGGCCAATTAGGCCAAAGTATCAGCTGTGTATAAGTGTGTCCATTGTATGTGCTGTATTTTGTGTGGAGAATTATCGAGGTTGTTTTTTTCCCCTAACAAAAGGCCAATGAGCCTGCGCGACAGAAACCAAAGAACAAAGCCAAGCACAAACCTTTGAAGAGCGTCTCCAACCCCTCAGTGCTGCAGAACCACCAGCCCGGTCCCCCAGCCAAGCGGGCCACCAAGATGACGGCCGCTGGCGTCCTTTTCAGAGGGCCTGCCTTCGGCGGGGGCCGGACACCCCCGGACTCGCCCACTGATTCCGTCCACAGGACGCTCAGCGCTGAGGAGATATCCAGCCGCGTGCAGGACGTCGGGAGGGGTGCTGCCCCTATGAAGCAGCAGTATCCAAGAGCGGGCGGCAAGCACCCGGCGAAGAAGCAAGGGTTGATGATGAATGGCCGCAGGTAGCAGGAGATACGGCTGTCCAAAGATACCCAGATATCCTACCATATCCAGGCATAGCAGATATCAAGGTCTGCTTGGGCTAACCAAATTACAAAAAATGTGTGCTAAATTTGTTCATTGTTCGATTCGAGGTACTATGTACAAATACTCACCTTGTTATTTCTCGTTCCAAAAGGAAGGTTTTTCATGTTCCTCTAAGGCACTTTCAGAAACGTCTCTTTTTGTCATTGGACTTGCTTGAATGAGACATCAAGTGCTGCTGTTTTTCTTTTCTTTTTATGGTTATCTTTGTCCTATTTAAGGAAAATTTTTGCTCCGGGCTGTTAGTACCATGCTTTTTCCGAGTTCTTACTTCTTACAACTCAAGTATTCATTGACCTGTAACCTTCTAGGGCATGCAACAAAATGTATTGACTTGTGTTAAAGGCCAAATGAGCAGTAGATATTTTGATGTTTAAAGGATAGTGTGTTTGTCCCTGTGCCATTTTCCACTGGCATTTTACTCTCCAAAGTCTGTGCTGTCTCTGATTAAATATTCAATATTTAGATCTAGCTTTCTGGCTTGATCTTTTATTGAACAAGGAGCACCATGTTACCTGTCTAACATTACTTTTTTCTGCATGTGGTCAGTTCAAAGGCATTCCTTTTTTCCCAGCATGAAGTAACGTCGTAAATATCTGCACAGGTAATGCATTGCATTATTTTTTTTGTATCCTTACCAAATTCTGTACAGAAATAGTTATATTTTAAACCTACGATAATGTTCATATTATATACTCTTTATTCCTTGTTTTGTTGCAATATTTACATTTGATGGGTTCCCTTAGTTCCAAAGTGAGTCATTTTTTCAGATTTGGTTTAAAGCACAGGTAAGAAAAGGCCGAGGCTATTTCTTGGCAGAGACACTTGCAACCAGCAGGTGGATTTCCTTGACTCCGATCGATCAGGTTGAATGTTTGAGCCCAGCTGGGGAAGCTGAAGATTGTCAGCAGTTAAATGTGGAATGTTGGCATGTGCATGCAATGGGCTCTTTGACTGATTGTTTGAGTTGGTTTGGTTTGTCATGTATTCATTTTTGTGGCAAAGCACAATTTGGCACTTAGTGCAGTTATGTGAAATGAGTCCCATATTAGTTCTTGTTTTTTTCCTGCAGGAGATAAAATTAGAAACCCAGCATCTCATTGTAATAGATGACAGATTTATTTGAATGACACGGGTCAGGCATGGATTTCCATAGAACATTCTGCAAAAATTAGCAGATAATGGCCATCACAGTTCACAAGTATTTACCCAATATTTCCCCCTCAGATATGTACTTGGTTTGAGATGTACAATACTATTATATCTTCTCTGCAAGTCAAAAGCATTTGGGTATTTTTGCTCTTTTTGGGCAACTTTGGCAAGATGATAGCTCTAGAAAAATGGGAAATTGCACAAATGACAAATGTTTATGATTACATTGGTAACGTATAACGATTAATTTCCGTGAGGTGATAGAATGTTCCATTCCCATGAGTTGAAGCCGAGTGGAATTGAACATTTCATCTGCCACTGAATGAAACAATTCTTTCCTGGACGTAGTTCCTGCATTACCCGGATTATCCCTGAATAAATCAATCTTGAATAAATCCCTGCTTGAGCTATGATTTCTTTTGACTGTGGAATAGAACTTCTATTTAACATGGATCAGAACTGCTGTTTACCATGGAATGGAACTTCCATTTTGTTGGGCACCCATGCCAGGCATTGGGACCAATGATTCAATGATACATGATCAATGACCTAATCAGACGACAGGGATTTATTCAGGTATTGTTTAAGACCAAATTAATGTGGCTTTTTCATCTAAAAGATGATCAGCGGAGTGAAGTAAGCCAAGTTTCCCATGTTGTCACTCGCATGTACCAGTGTAATGCACGTTTTCTGCTTTTGTTGTATTCGCTTCACAAATACAACCCATTGGAATGTTAAAAAAGGATGGACACAGTAACAGTAAAAAAGAAGGCAATTTCATGAAACAAGCTGCGCTAACGTGACAAGTGCATTAGTGAGTGGAGACTTGGAAACTTAGTGCATGTTCATACAGAGTACTCATATGCCACTGAAAGCGCATCATATTGTGTGCCATGGTAGAAAGGTGCACGTGGCAATTAGCTTTTTTTTTTACCAAACTGCTAAGACATTGTGACCTGTGAAAATTGGTTTTTATTTAGGATGGTAGAAGTTTTTAAAAGAGGAATAATTGATTAGGAGAATGGACGCTGATTATGGCCGAGCCGAAGACATTATCAGCGTCCATTCTCTTGAGCCGGTCTTAAAACGAACGTTTAATAAAGGCCGGCTGAGCACAGTTTATTCCCGTTCTTTAATGAATTGCGAAGTGAAAACGTACAAAATTACAAATTTCTAAACGATTTTGTTCAACTTTTTTTAAGCACCGCTTTAGCCATGCTATATGTGTTCCACTCGAGAATAATCCAAAACAATCTCTTTATATTTTGGTGTGGAGATTTGCGAGTTTGGGGCACACTGCGTGAGGTGGTCAGTGCCCCTCGCTGCTCTCACAGTCTGGCTGGGATGGGCAAGCGTGTTTCGCAGATTTTTTGTGAAGGAAACACTACACAGCTGTGGTCACGCCGAGCATTATGCGTTACTCGCTGTCTTATTCCTTACAAGAAGAAGTTCAAAGGAACGCTATCCGCTGAGTTCTCGACAAACTACCGGTAAACGTCTGATACATTTACCCTTGCGCCAGCACCCCGTAAGGGCGGTGGGGGCCGAGATGGTAGGTGCACAGCTAGCCACTGGTTTCAACTGTGATGGGCTCTCGGCCAATAGGAGCGGCTAAACCCTGATAATATCCACGAATAAAGGCGCCTTTCCGTTTGTGTGTCAACACTTGCGCCAAGCGTTGTGTATCAGTCAAAATCGCTCCCAGGCGGGGCGATTTGGAGTTATATTCATGGGTCGGTTTTTGTGTCCATGAAACGCACCGAAAAACGTGCATGTGGAAAAGCACCTTAACCCTTCTTTGATGCAGGGTTGTAAGCACTGTTCTCTTTATGCATTCTGAGAGCTTGCGAATAAACAATTTTGGGTTCAGAATGGTGGTTCTGTCCACATGAGTAATGTGGAGGTTTATGGGTTTGCGTCGTAATCAACATCGATCAATGTTACATTAATATTGGCATAAGGGTCATGCTATAAACTTGGGGTCTGACATGTGACAATTTTCCGGTTACACCTGACTTGTATAATATGGCAAGGGATATATCACTGAAATTGATTTAAAACTAGTTTTATTTGTTGGCAGGTAATTTGCAGTACTTAGTCAATTTGAGAAATTACAGCATGACTTCTAAACATGAAACAGTCGTACGCCAGATGTAACAGGGACGGGGAAAATTGGACCCCAAATTTAAAGAATGACCCATTATCTAGTGATGTTTGGGCACTTGCGCACCTGTGTATAATTGTGAATGAAAGGTTTATTTCAGAGATGTCTTATTGACCGGATCGTCAGTTCTGTCTGTGAGAGTATTGTCTTCATGTTCGTTCGTTCGTTCGATTTAATCAGTACATGTAGACCGGATTCTAATTACAGGTACTTTACGTCAAATGCCAGACGCCAGCAAGTAGTTCCACTCACAGGGTTGTTCGTGGCTTGATTGAAAAAGGAACTTTGTTTGGTTTAATTAAGGTTTACCGCTCTTCATTACCTGCTAAATATGATTTACACTTGTAATTTTTATGCAAAGTTGTTTTAAAAACATATTTATGCATCTTGATCACTGTGCCTTCCCTAGGTAATTCTAAACAGCTGCACGGCTGGAAATATACAGCATTTTTGGAGAAATGCTTAAGTGCACACCATTGCAGTGGGGCTGTATTTATTCTTCCACCGGCGTACAAATAGAGGCTATGCGTGGTAACCATATTGCAGGGCAGTTCTTTTGTTCCACAGGGAAGCCTCCTTTGTGCATACCCTATGGAACAAAAGCTTTGACCTACAAGATGGCAGCAATGCAAACCCTCTATAATCAGAGTGAACGAGTACGACAGAGCAAATAGAATTAAAGTTTCTCCTCGGTGTAAATACAGTATTAATTAAGCGTTCACCAAATAAGCAACCAAGCTAATTAATATGCAATATGAATGTCTCCACTGTGTTCTATCCAATTGTAAGCTCCATGAGTAATAAATGTTCGCACGTGGACGGTTTTCAAAACTACAGAGGTCTCTGTGTAACCCCTCCTGTTGTGTCCTCCACAAAAAATGTGATGGATTGTTACATTTTTCAAGAGACATTATGAACGATGACGATATCGGTGAACTCTCAAACGTTTGACAGCTTTTGTTGAAAACACCTTTGTGTGCAATTGGGTGCAGCACAGGCCAGTGGCACCGCAAATTTGCCGGAGGGGGGGGGGCAAACCGCTTGCTGGCAGCAAACTGACAAACTGTCAATGGGGAAGGTGGTCACTTCCGAGATATCTTCAAAGCAACTTAAAAATTTTTCCGCCCTTTTTGTCGTCTCTTTACACTCTGTTCTTTCCCCATTTTATTTTTCAATTTGTTCCCGTTTTCCCTCGATTCTCTTTTGTTCTTAACCCCCTCCCGCGCCACAGCCTTAGCTACCATTCGTTAGAAATTGAAACATCCCGTCAGATTGGACCAGCCGTACCCTGTTTGGTTGTTTTCATCAATAGTAACATTCGCTGCAATACAACTGCAGCATTTGCATACGGTTGGCATTCTGAAATGTGGCACTTTTGAATTGGGAAAGCTGACATTTTTCTTTCACGAGAATGTTTTTCATAGGTTCATCCTCGCTCATTAGTCGGTAGGCGGATGATACAAGTTTGAACTCCGAAAACAAAATTATCTTTTTAATTAGCGATATCTGGAGTGCCGTTCCTGGTGACGAGGGAAATGGGAGTGCAAATGTTTGCTTTACGCAACTGTATGAAAACGTTTTGGTGAAAACGAAACAAAAACGCTGAAAATAACTTTGGTCCCATCAGTCGTTTAACAACCCGCGCTGTATACTTAGTGTCAAATGTAATTAACTCACGTAATTAAGTTCTGCGCTGTATTATTCGTACGATAAATTTCATCATGCATCGACAAACGATGAAATTCTAAACTCGTTATCGGCATGTGACATTTGAATGACATCGAGGCAAGTCTTCATTGTATTGTAGTTTTACAAGTTAGAATTATTCCTCTTTGTAGACACTTTAACATCGAGGAATTTAATACGCGAAGGCATAGAAATTAAACTATTGTGTGACCTCATTTTATGAGGTATTAATGCCTTATATAATACTTGTGGTCATGCTTGGTGGATGGAAGTACTAAATACCAGAAGGTATTTTGTCAGAACCTCAGGTGCATTTTTCTTATACAGTTGCAGATTCAGGCTTTTTCGCTGAGGGGATTTTGAAAACTTATTTCGCGCCAGGGAGGGAGATGGTAGTTACTGTATCTGTGGCTATTGTAAAAATCATTTACTAACTTTGTTTTGTCCTTGACCGAACACGCAAATAAAACCGATACACTGTACAGGGTTTATGCTCAGACGTTAGCCGTTTTTACCACTGCCTCCGGATCCGTGCCTGTCCTAATTCAGGAGAATTGCTCACTTGATGTTACTGGCAACCTTTCGTAATAAGGTCTAGATCTTACGCAGTTATATTGATCTCATTGTAGCCTATATTCTGAAATTGTAATAGGCCTATGTTGAATTAATTTTCCCTGTAATTGATACATGTTATGTCGAAGTAACTACATGTTGCTATTGATACGAACACACACAAGCACCCACATACTAAACATTTAGCCTACTCGTGAACAACCGCCAAAATCCTCAAAAGTTACGAAAGAAAGTGAAATTATCTAAATTTTTTTATGTGAATCGTCACATCCAATCAACATTTCAGTTTCAAAACGTACCGGTGTGTTCACTGGTATAAAAGATTGTTGTAGAGGTATTTTGCGTTCAAGCCAAAAACGGAACGTTTTCAAATGAATCATCAAATTCATTCCACAACTTGGTGCACAGATTGGTTGGATGCAGAAAATAGCTTAGAAGTCACGGATTTTCGTTTTGCATTATTTGGTATACATGCAGTCCCACAGTTAATGAACCCCAAAGTTGTTTTTCTCGTAATTATTATTAAACTTTCGCCAAACCTTAATTTTCCTGGTAGCAACTTTTTAATACAAACAAACAGGTCGACAAAATATGTTGTTTCAGTAATGAAAGCTCTATATCGTAGATACTGAGTTATTTTGTTCAATTTGTTGGGATGTGCCGTCTGTTGAGCCATTTAGGAGGAAGATTGATGTGAGCCTCGAACATCACTCATACAAAAGGCAATATCTAGGCCACAACAAAAGAATGACGGATTAAGCAGTATTGATTTAGTGTAACCCAATCCCAGAGACCGACTCCAGTGCTATGCGCAATTTCGGAGCGGGCCTCGTAACTTCGCACGCAACTTTTTCCGGAGTGAGAGCCGATAAAAAGGGCGAGGCTGACGCAAGCCGAGCATCAGTTGTTGGTGGAGCGTCGACCGCGGTCACATATACACGGCTGCAACATGGAAGTGGCAATGATCCTTCTGTTGTTGGTCGGCTCTGCGCTGGCGGGGACCGATCAAGGGGTAAGTCCACTCTGACTAAACGCATTCTAATCCCAAGCAGTGCTTTACACCCTGACACCTCACGGCCATCCTGCTCTGTGCTTTCAATTTCCAACAAGAAGCTAGAACTACAATTGACATAATGAAGGGTTTCGTATAATGAATTATTTTCTCTATGCGCGCTCTGATTGAATGAGGCATCCTCCCCTTTTTTGAAATGCTGTGATTAGATTTCTTTTCAAGTCAATTCCCCAGTTTGCGCGGGCTATATGTTTTCGGCGTTCTGACCAGTTACGATGTCAAGATTTCTTCGAAGCAATTTTTCCATTACCGGCGTTGCTTTGAGCGCGCGCAAATTTTGTGTCACGACGCCGTCGCTTGTTTGTTTGTTGTTTTATTTTGTAAATATCGAGCACTTAAATGTGACTCTATAATATTAGGCACGAGACGAATTCACTGGATTGGCGGTGGACTTCTTCATGGGCAAGGACAAGTTGGCATCCCACCTTGAGATGACTCCGTCCGAGGACTGTGTGGAAGGGGACATGCAGATGAATGAGGAACAGAAGCAGGCGTACTACATGATGCGAGAAGTGACGGCCAAGAACAGGGCCCGCGTGCGACGAGCGGCCACCAAAGCCTTCCGCCTGTGGCCCGACAACACTTTTGTTTACAAGTTCGACCCAAGGCTGTGTGAGTACACAAGACTGTGGCGCAACTTCCCGGTAGTCCAAATCCCCTAGTTTTCTTAGATTAAGCTGATTGAAATAAGCCTTTTGCGAGTTCAATTTGAATAAAATCTGGCACACTGAGTTCTTTCAATTCATGTGAACATAACAATTTGTATTCTCCACACTAAAGACACTGTTGCTGTACATCCTGATTGAGGGCAAGCTTTTCCTTAGTTACATAAGAGACGCCTTGCCTCAATAGGCGGTTTTCAATGGATGAGAAGGACGAAAAGGAACCAGTCCATTCCAGAGATGATGGTCGCTGTGCAAAAGCTTGCCCCGAATCATGAGGTATGGCAACAGTGTCTGGGGAATTCATATGGTCATGTTCATGTGCAATCAGATAACCTACTTTACCAGTTGATTGTATGGCGGTGTTCATAAACACTCGTATATCGCTTCACCGGCGAATGTAGTCGGTCTTACACTGTTGTACAATGTATATGTTAGCAGTTGTCGAGGGCCGATATTCATAAAAGCCTACTCAGCCTAATTAGCTACTAAAATGGCCCCAAGTTGATAACTAAGCCTAGTTGAAAGCTAAGTGGTGTTCGTAAAATTTTGGTAACTTTAGTTGGTTGCTAAGTTGGCTGCTAACGTTGGAGTTGATCTGGGGGTGTTTCAAAGTAGTTGGAAACTAAATCATTTGTGGGTTACACATTGAGCAGCGAATATGGCGAGACGTAGGCCTATACTTGAGCTTGCACAGCTAAACTGTGCGATTCATAAAAGCTTGCTAAGCCTATTTGGCTGCCGTTCTTAAAAGTAATTTGACCCATCCAAAATATCACCATAGGGGCCTATCCCATTGACATGCAATTACACACTTTCCGGTTTGGAGGTTTGAAGAACTACTGGATGTCCCAGCTGCGTTCTAAACATCTACCTACCAACTTGCCTGGCAACATTCTCAGCAAGGTTGCCAAGTTGGTAACCATGGAGTAGAAAACTACGGATTCAGCAGGCTGCTAAGGCCTGGTTGGCTGCTAAGTCAGCCGGCTTTTATGAGCATCGGCCCTAGTCACAAAAACGAACGTGTAGTATTCTTTTCCCCAAGCTTCGGCAATGCGAGCTAAGTTCATGCAGGCTGTTGAGACATACAAAGCTACGACATGCATCCAGTTCCATGAAGCGAAAGAAGGCTATAGTGGCAGCATCCCTCCACTCACGGTCTACGGAACTGGTAATGGGTAAGATTTACTCATCCTAATACATGTACAGGTGCTGGTAATTCTGAAAGTAGGGTATGTACAAGTTAGTCCCCCCCAAAAAAGTCTCCCGTTTCGGCGGTTTCTGGTTAGTGCACGCGTCGCCGTAGACCTGTTCGTCGGCAAAGGGAAAAGATTTTATTTTGTATAATACGATGTCTAAAAGTTGCCAACTTGAAACTTGCATGATCGACTGGAATCCTCCTACTGCATAATTTTAACGTGTTTAAGATGAGGTATGGTCGAGTAAACATGTATGAACACTAAAAGAGTCCCTCTAGGCCCCATACATTTGGTCGGCCGGGCACTCTTTTTCAGATGACGTCATTTCTGTATTATAGACATTTACCCCTGGAAACCATAT